ATCTCTAATCTACACTATTATAGCTGAAAAGCAACTGAGTTGTGCCAGAAATTAAAACAATATAAGATACAATATATGTTGGCAGATGAAATTGTATAATTTAGTTTAATGAATAATGCAATACGTCCAAAATTGCATATATATATATATATATATATATATATATATATATATATATTTTAAAACTTATGCATGTTGCATTTTGCTTTACTTTACTAAATTATTTAAATAAAAAATAATATTTTTACTTATTGAAAAAATGATTTAGAATTTTGTTTCATGTGTCAAAAATTAATTTGTTTCATCATGATCTTAGATTGAACAGTGCCATATGAACTAGATTTCACAAAGTAATTCACCTAAGATTTTAACTAAAATAAGAATGTTTATTGAATTATTAGTAAGAAAAATGTAACTTAGAAATTGTAATTGCCAAAAAGTAACTAACATCGATTACGCGATTATTAAAATTATATACTATTATATATTATATAAATTATTGAAGCAAATATATTGTTTGAAAATAACAAAAGTGACATTGTTCTTTTACCGTAGATACTATATTTTTTCTTTTTAAATTTCTTATTCTGACCAAAAAACTGCAGTTTTCAATACCTATATATCTTGTGCTAAAACCACAAATGGAAGGTCATTTAATAGAATGTTTAAAAGTATAGGATAGAATTTAAAAAGAAATTATTATTTTTATATGAAAAAGAATTTTATGATTATTATTATATGAAAATAATGTTGAAATGTTACATTAGTAATAATATAAGAGACAACTCCGCTCAAATTGATTCCGGGGGAGAAGTTATACCTCGGATATAACTCACTCCGAAGTTACCCAACTCAAGTACGAAGTAAGGGGTTTCCAGTTCGATAAACACATCGCAGAAATTGATAACAAGCAGTGGTAACGATTTTCACTTCAAAATGTAATTGTAAAATATATGCCCTTCCCGACATTTTAGCATCAAAATAATATCATTTTCATAAAAATTATAATAATAAGATATATCAAATATAGATACATATTCTAAGTTTAATGATTCCACAAAGATCGTGGATAAGAAGTATCATCTTTTATACTGTGACATCGCACTGCTGTCACCATGTTATGCTGGAACGGCCAATGACACCTAAAAATATGTAGAAGACCCCACCGATGATGATGCCAAATAATATGTAGGGTTCTTTCCGCTGCTAACAAATATATGTAGGAACCAAATATGCATTGCTGGATTTACAGTAGGGGCAATCGGGGCTACTGCCCAGGGCGGCAAATTTTGGGGGGCAGCAAAATTTGGGTAGTAAGAAAAAAATTCTATACAATACATTTTTTATTTCAAGAAATATAATTAACAAAACATAATACGATTGTAAGCAAAATTTGGGTTGAAATAACCGATAACTAAAATTTATTATTTTGCATTACCTCCCTCTCTGAACGTAAATTTTCAAATTGGTTAATAAGTTATCAAATTTGGCAATTTGGCTAATATAAAGATTCGTAAACAGCTGAAAGTTTAAGAAAAATATGTTTTTTAGTTCTCGAGCCCTCTTAAAATGACGAATTTGTGCACTTCCAAGCTTATAGCGTCGAAAAAAAATTAAACTAGTCACCCATGCCATTGTGCCTTAAGACAAATTACTTAAACATCCCGTACTGAAAATTACATTTTATAAAGAGCTTTAAAATGTTTTGAAAAATGAAAAAAAAGACTTTTAAAACACATTTTATGTATTTTGAAATTTTTCGAAAATTATGAACGTCAGAGAAGAAATATCAATAATTACAAAAATTACCAATTTTCGGACGGAGACGTGCTGATTAGTAATTGGCCAAGGGAGGTCCAACTGTTTTGAAGATACGGGACAAAATGCCAAAAATGATAATTCAGTTTTTGAGAAAAAAAGCGTCCAATATCATTAAAAAAAATTTACAGAATGAATAACTGCTTAAATTTGTGGGGGGCAGGTTTAGCGGTTTTGATGACCCAATAAAAAAAAATTGAAAAAGAAATATTTGGCGGACAAAAGAGATCATAAGACATATGCACTTTAAATTATCAGACATTTTAAAGATATTATAATAAGTATAAATTTTGTTTACATTTATATGCGTTCTGCAACATTGTTTATCCGTTAGACAGCGACGCGGCGCTTACACGCTTCTATATTTTGTCCCTACGCAGCTGAAGCAGCGCGATTGTTTTAAAAAAAGTTCGAAAGTTTGTAAAATTTCAGGGATGGGGCGGCATCTTTGTCAGTGCCCCGGGGCGCCAAATTTCTAAATCCGGCCCTGCAAATATGGTAGGTGAACAGTATAAACAGACGAAGAAATTTGATATATTTATTTTATTTTACTATATCTGGATTAACGTGAATATTTATGAATTAACATTTATAAAAAAAAAATTAAATCACATATTTTTAAAATAAAAATCATGGATTAAATTTGAATGCATTATATTATTGTGACACAGTTTTAATTTGTGTAAAATGTAGATAATAATAACTATTGATCAATAACTCTACCCTGTTAGCTAAAATCGTTTACTTTTGCAGTTAATTACAGGTTATAAAACTATTTTTATGATAGTACAGCGACCAAAATATGTTATGTTAAATTTATCGAAAAGTTTTTTTTAACTTCCCATAGGGCGAGTTATAGTAATCGCAAAAAATCGAAAATGAAAATTTGTATATATCTTTACGTTTCAGAGGTTTCTGAGCATTTTGGCATACCTTATAAAAATGGATGTATGTGTGTGTGTGTGTGTGCAGATACAAATTTTCGTCGACAATTTCGGGAACACTGTTAAAAAAAATGCCATTTGGCGGTCAAAAATGATCATTATACATATGCACATAAAATTATCAGATAGTTTATAGAGATTTTAACAATAAGTATAAATTTTGTTTACATTCCTATGAGTTCCGTACCAATGTTTATCCGTTAGACGGCGACGCGGCGCTTACGCGCTTCGATATTTCGTCTTTATGCAATTAAAGCAGTACGATTGCTTTGAAAAAAAAATCAGAACTTCTAAAATATTTCAAAAAAAAGAAATCTTTTTCTTTCAAAGTCTTTTTTCCAAAAAAATAATTTTTTTTCAAAAATTTATAGTTTCTCAAAAATCTAATTTTTCAGAGTAAAATTTTTTCAAAAATGTTAATCTTTAAAAAAAAAAATGGTACGAGAAGTTCCAGCAATTTCGCTTAAGGCACGATGCCATGCGCCCCACTAGTTTTTATTTATTTATTTTTATTGGCCTTACTTATTCAGAGCATTTCGCTACCTACATTTTTTTATTCTATACTTGCTTATTTAACTGAATTTTTTATTCTTCAGTTTTCTTCTAAATTTTAAGTTCTCTATTGCAAATCTTACTTTTTCTTCTTACTTCTAATTTGATTCTAATTCAACTGACAATTCTATGTCAGCACAAGTATTCGAACCGAGTATCCCGGCCGTGTGATTTATATATGCTCTTGACTGAGATATTAATGGAACATAAAAGTTAAGAACTAATGACTACAATTTTCATAAAAAGCTTGAATTGCATTCATCTAATTTTAACTCTGTAAGAAATGTTAAAATTATCAAACACGTGATAGACAAAAAATAAACTCCCTTTCAATTTATTAACTCCCGTAGAGTAAGTTATAGTAATCGCAAAAATGTTTCTGAACATGTTGGAATACCTTAGAAAAAAAAACGTATGTACATATATGTGTATGTATGTGCGGATACAATTTTTCGACGATTTCGAGAACAGGGATCAACCGATTTGAATGATTAAAAAAACATTCGATTTCTATTGATAAGAAGAGGTGAGTTTTTGGCAAAGGCAGGTCCAGCCATTTTTGGGAAGGCACATCCAGCGGTTTCGGCGACTCAGAAAAAAAAGTTTAAAAAAAATGGTATTTTGTGGTCAAAAATCATCACTGTACATATGCACATAAAATTATCAGATATTTTATAGAATAAAATTAAAAAAAAATTGAATTTCGTATCAAGATTTTTAACTTTAAAGTTCTCTTATATGGTTCAAACAAATGTCCTCGACATTTTTGAGAGTATGGAATAACCGTTTTGAATAATTCAGAAAACTTTTTTTATTGAAATGAATTTTAAAAAAATCAAATTTTTGAAAAAAATTCAAAAAATATTGTTTGATAAAAAATCGATTTTTTTACAAATAATTCAAAAAATTTTGAAATTTTCAATCAAAAATCTTCTAAATGTTGAAAAAATATCAAAATTCCCAAAAAAATCAAATATTTAAATTATCAAAAAAAAAAATTAACAAATAGTTTATAAACAAAATACACATAAGTTGTTTGTAGGCGCCCAAATTTTACACTTTTTATAATATATTTAGTATTATGAATATTATAATATTAAATATAGTATTAATATAATAATCCATTTAAAACAATTGTTGTTAATTACTGAATAATTTTCGTTGATTGTTGATTATTTTCATTTCTCGATTGTTTAATTACGGTACGGGAAGTTCCAGCAATTTGCCTTAAGACACGAAGCCATGCACCACTAGTTTATGATTTCAATTATTTACCCTTACCTTAACGACAAGATAACTTTCACTAAACTATTAAGAACGGAATATGTTCAAATATAATATTTGCGATCTATAGAAATCGAGTTCTACTTGTGCCCAACCTCGGTTATTTTTTATCTACATATCATACATTTGTTGGTATTTAAAATAAATTTAATTATTCTTTCACAGTTTTTCACGGACACTATGAACCTATGAACCGAACAACCGAACTCTATAGTCAATAAAGCAGTTATGATACTGTTGTGTTATGACAACTTGTATAACATACCTAACTTCACTTTAGTTTGTTTCGTAAATTACGATATTTATGCGTAGTTGTGCATAAAATTGTTTGTCATATGCTAATTAATACTGTAGATATATTCATTTAGTCATTTAATCATAATAGTAAAACGCATGTTTCGTTGTTTTGTGAGAATTAGAATGTAAGCTATGTTTAATAATTGTTTTACTTGAGATTGACAATTCACATAACCTACAAATTGTGTATTAAACTAAACTTTTATTTAGAGTTCAATAAGTTTTATTTTGTTTTAGACTTAGATGGTGCTATCAATTATAAACACAAGGATGGAAAAGGACAAATATAACTATAGATCGGATGCATTTCTTGACACGATTTAGAAGAAATTGTAAATACACAGTGCAAGTGTCTAAAGATGTGAAAAACAGGAAATTAAATATTCAAAATGTTAGATTGTTACGACATTATGTGTTGTTCTAGCTATGATAAGGATTCAATATGTCAGTGGATCGCTTGCAACAATATAGTATGTGTTCGAAAAAATTTAACTTGCATAACTCGAGAAAGTAATTCTCATTATGCAACTAGTAGTAAATTGCCAAATATTAATTTTAGTTTTAATAATAGTAAAAGGTTAGAAGTTGGTGAATCTTGTAATAAGAAAAATCACAAATCTTTCAATGGTTCTAGTAAAATCAGTGCAATAAAATATAAATTGTGTAATACGACATTAAACAAATTTGAGTATGAAGAATGTCATTTATTAAGGAGATGCTGTAATTTAAAATCCTCCAGTGTTTGTACAAGTTCTGTGTGTGATAAAGTATCTCGGACCCGACAAGCTAATTCAGTATGTTTTCATCAAAGGCCATGGGGTCAAAATAATAGTAGATTTTATTTTTTTATTTTTTTACTTTTTATTATGTTTATGAGAGTCACAGCAAATGAACTTTCTGTGGAGACTGATGTAGCCTTTAAAAATAAAAGTGATGGTGAGTTTCAGTGTTAAATTCAATGCAAGCCTTTGTGTAATTAATGTTTTGTTAAATATTTCAGTTTGTCGAGATAATTATGACATACGAAATGATCCAAAGCAATTTATGAGGCTGCGTGGGTGTCGAATTATTGAAGGATATTTACAAATATTACTATTTGATAATTACAATGAATCAAGTTACGATGGGATATCATTTCCTGAATTACGTGAAATCAATGATTACCTTATGTTTTACCGAGTTTTTGGTCTCAGAACGCTTTCTAAACTTTTTCCAAATTTAGCAGTGATAGGTGGAAAACAGAGATTTCAAAATTATGCTTTAATAATTTATGAAATGCAAGATATGCAGGAAATTGGACTTATATCACTAACTGATATTTTGGACGGTGCTGTCAGAATAGAGAAGAATCCACAATTATGTTATGCATCAACAATTGACTGGACATTAATAGCCAAGAAAGCTAAAAGAGATGAGCATATGATACTGGTATATATTTACAGTTTTTGGTATTATATTTTTAGGAATTTCTTATTGTTATATACATTTGGACCAGAGTAAGAACAATTGCTGCTAGAAATATATAAGTTGGAACCATAAGAACATTTATTGAAACTCATTTATTGAATCAAAAGAAACTTTTTTAATGTAATAGTATTTTTTAAAAGGACATAATTTAATGCTATGAAAACTCTCTTTGTATTATTAGTATTTATTTATATAATGAATAAATGAAAACTTGCAGGATAATAAAAATCCAAATGAATGCCCAAGTTGTCCAGGAGATGATACTGATCTATCTCATGGGCTTCAATGTCCAGAATCTAGTTATGAACACAAATCTTCACGAAGATTATGTTGGAATCAAAATCATTGTCAAAAAGGTAAGTCTTCTATTCAAATCATTGCAAATTATTTACATGTGCAAGTTTTTATTCATTCATTGCAGTTGTATATTGAATTTATGTGATATTGCAATAAATTACTAAAAAAAATGTAATATGGAATTATAAATGTTAAGTTCTATTCTTTATTTTGACAATGGCTTATCTAACAATGGTACAGTAGAAACTCGGTTAACTGGACTAATTGTTGTCGATAGGCATTCGGATAATCGAAAGTAGGGAATAAGTTTAATTTAGTTAAAAATGTTTGGTAATTGTAATTTGACATAAGCAAATTTTCCTCTTCATTGCTGCTATATCACGAATTGGTCCTATAAATTGGTTGCTGTTGGTTATCCGGATAATCGCAAATCCATATAACTGAGGTTCGGATAAATGATTTTCTACTGTATCATAAAAGTTTTGGCATTTTAACTTATATATATATATATATATATATATATATATATATATATATTATATTCACACTGCATATAAATATTACCTGAGACAATTATTATCTATATATATATATATATATATATATATATATATATATATATATATATATATATATATATATATGATTATGACATCAGAAGTATTGATACACTCGATTTCGTGTTCCTGAAAACAGTAGCAACACAAATCTTTTGTGATTATATTTTCATCATGGTAATACAAAACATTTTTAGTGAAAAGTTACACAAAATGATCTAATTTCTTCATATAACACCATAACAAATTAAATATTTGTTTGTTTCTAATGTCACAAAATAAATTTATAATGTGCTATTTCACAAATTCACTTTAAATATTTCTTTTAAAAATATAAATTTTAGATTTTTTATTAAGAATATTTGTTCTTTGTTCCAATTCAGCAAAGCTAAATATCATTTTCAAGATATGTTGATATTGCAGTGATTTGTGTTACGATAATAACATAATAAGTGAAATAGTATTTAAATTAGAAAGAAATCAATATTTTAATATGCTCAAAGATTTATAAGATATTATTATCGTGGAAAATAAAATATTCTATCTAGCTATAGTTTTATGAAATTACTTAATAATAAATAGGATCAAGTTTTAATCAACAGACTAAGCACTGCTATTGTTCAGTAAATTTTTGCTCTTTATGTTTCATTCTATCATGTTTATTTATAAATAAATAACAAATTATTTTATTAGATCAGGGGGCGCGTTGCAAACCAGATTGGAAACCACTAAAAATTGAGTTTATATAAAATAACCTCAATTACAGTAATTTTTAATTATTCCTTGAATTTACTGTAACTAACATACTTCTAAAATGTTTAATTTTATTAAAACATTATTTGCATCTTCCTATTGTAAATTATTAATTATCAAAACTGATAGTAAATAACGTCAAAACTAGTGATGTGCCGACTCGAAAATTTCCTGATTCGAGTGATTCGAATCAGAAAAAAACCTGATTCGAATCATGATTCGAATCAATTCGAATCAAGTTCATATATGAACAATTATAATTTAAGAGAAGAAATAATATCATTTTAATAATTTTATAAGTGAAATAATTAATTTAGTAAGCAATTAATTCCAAAAAGTGCAGAGATGAATACATTTATACTATATATATAATAATAAACTAGCTACAAATATAACTAATCTTTCAAGTAAATTTACAGTAAAATATAACCAAACACTTCTCTATCACTAAAGCATATAAAACAATATTCTTAATCTTACGTTGAACGAATGCATGTGTATATTATTGATTGTTTAGATCTAATCTAAACAGGGAGCTGAATCTAACGTCTTACGAATGACTTAAAATTCAATCCACTACTGTAAAGATTGATATTATTTCATTTGTGTGAATTTGCCATTACTTGCATAATTAAAATATAATAATTTTGTATGTGTATAAAACTTGTTGTGTAGTTTATTTTGATAATAATTAAAATCTAAATCGCGTATTTATTATCTAAATGAGTTTTTGATATTTCATGAACAAATTTGCTCTCAGCGCTTAGTCAAAAATAAACAAACACTCAAGACCCCCATACGCACTGCATCTCCATAAGTCGATACGCTAAACACGGACACATGTTTCGAACTCAAGTCGGTATGATTCAGTTTGAGTTATATGAACTCGGATAAATTCATACCGACTTGAAGTCGGGATAAGTCGGTTTGAGTCATAGGAACTCGAATCAATTCATAACGACTTGAAGTCGGGATAAGTCGGTTTGAGTCATAGGAACTCGAATCAATTCATAACGACTTGAAGTCGGGATAAGTCGGTTTGAGTCATAGGAACTCGAATCAATTCATAACGACTTGAAGTCGGGATAAGTCGGTTTGAGTCATAGGAACTCGGATGAATTCATATCGACTTGAATGCGGTTGAAGTCATATAAATTGGAGTCGGGTGATACATTTAAGCGTATTAAAGGCGGGTGACTCGCATGATTTAATTCAAGATTTATTTTTTATATTTATTATTATTATTTTTTATATTTATTATTATTATTATTTATATTATTATTATATTGAATTAAATTAAAACATTTTTTTATATTTATGAAAATTTGTGTTCACACATGTTTTATCACAATAAATATTTCGCGGCTTGATACGAGTTGATTCGAATCAAGTAAAATCTGATTCGAATCAAGTCGTTAAAGGCTTGATTCGAATGATTCGAATCACTTGATTCGACTTGGCACATCACTAGTCAAAACCTTCAAAAATCGGGTATAGATAGACGCACAAATTACTACTAAAAATCTCATAAACAAAGTAACTCTAATATTATAAATACAATTTAACCCAATCTTAATAAATTGTCGAAAGAAAGAAATGAAGATTATCTTATTGTTATTATTAGTATTATCTTGATATATTTTTATTATATATCTATATTATATACAACATCTTGCCTTAATATTCTATATGTGAGCATTTTATTAATTCAATATAATTTTTGTAGTGTGTCCTGCTATGTGTAATGGCACATGTGACAATAACAATAATTGCTGTGATGAGAAATGCATAGCTGGATGTCCTGGAGACAGTAAAAACTGTATTGCGTGCAAGCATTATAGGCTAGGGCACACAAAAGATTTTCAATGTGTTGAAACATGCCCTGCCAATACACTAGTGGTGAGTATGTCAAGATGAATATTGTTGTAATTAGCACTGCTATGCAGTTAAATTACAAATTTCGCGACGGAATACATTTATATACATATATATGTATATATATATATATATACTAGCTGACCCGGCAAACGCTGTTTTGCCATCAAAAATATTTTGCCGCATTGCAGAAGTTTTTATAATATACATGATATATTAATGATAATGTTATATTTTTATTACACAAATTTCTTTACATTTTGATATTTAATTCGAACGCATCATAGTGCTTTGTTTATTATAATTTTATTTATGTCAAATAGTGAAATATTTTTAATCAATGAATAAATTAGATTTTAGTCTGAATCATCTAGTACCATTATCTAAATATATAATTTTTATATAAATATCAGATTTTTTACTTTTGCATTTAATTGAAAAATATTGAATGTCAATTTCATATATCCAATATGCACTAAATTTTTAAATGCCAAAATATTTCCTTTTTGGTTCGAAATTTAATATAATATGATATAATTTATATTTATAATTTGATTGCCAACATTGCCTATAACATAACTTGGAATAATTAATTTATTTGTATCTTATTGAAGTCGTTAAAAATTCTTTTTTTTTTGAACTGTCAGAATTTTGTTTATGATTAATGTTAAATTCAATATGTCGCTTTTTTATTGTGATCTATAATGTTTTAATCACTTATCATATAAATTTTCGACTGCAAATTGATATTCATACTATCCCTGAAACTAACATGGATAAAGTTCTGAGAAATCCGAGTCCAAATCTATAAAATGTTTGATTTTTGGCACTTTTATTAATTTTTTATCAATTTTCGTACTGTAAAATAATGGATGATTATTTATCAAAATTATAATATTTAGACTACAATTTTAGATGTATACTTTTTATTTTGGCATTGAATTATTTTCATTGAAATCAAGTGAAACATAAATATATTTATTCGATATTTATATAAAATATATAATTAAAATATGCATTAAAATCATATGTCATTTTATAAATAGTATTTATTACTTTGGTGCTTGATATGGGTATGAATTTGTAATAAAATATATTCTTTCTGACAAATAGTTAAAAACTTATTATAATTTTCAAAATTATTTGACATTTCTTACTTCAAAAATTAATTCACTCGCATCATAGCGTTTTGTTTATTATACTTTTGTCATGTCAAATACGTCAATATTTATTTTTTATAAATTAATAATTATTTTAAGTCATCAATGAATATATTATATGATTGTTAAATTCATAAAAAAGTGCAAATTCAACACAGGAATATTGTGGAAATAAATATTTTTTTACGTAAAGATCTGATTTTTGACGTTTGCATTTCATTTCAAATTAATTATAACTGTCAAAATATTTTCTTTTGGATCGAAATTTAATATAATATGATATAATATTTAGTTTGTCTAGTTTGTTTTTGTCAGATTGCAATGATACCTTCAGATTGTACTATTCCATTTAAGAGGTTACAATTTTCTGTATGATTAACTTTTGCGATGGCAATCAAAATTTATCTCAACTCATATAATAATAATATTTTATTTTGATTACACAAATTTCTTTACACTTCGTTAATTAATTCGAACGCTTGATGCAGGTGTTTTGTTTATTTTAATTTTGTTTGTCATTTTTTTTAAAAATTAATGAATAAATCAGGTTTCAGTCTAAATTAATAAATCAGTATCTTTATCTGAATATACAATTTTTTATATAAATATTTGATTTTTTACATTTTCATTTAATTGAAAAACAGTGAATGTCAATTTCATATATTCAATATGCAGTATATTTGTAAATGTCAAAATATTTCCTTTTTGATCGAAAATTAATATATGATATTTATTTTACAATATTGTGTTGTATCTATAATTTGTTCGGCAATATAACTTGGAATAATTAATTTGTTTCTTATTGAAGTCGTTAAACATTTTTTTTGTGAAATGTCAAATTTTTGTTTATGATTAATTTTAAATTCAATATGTCGCTTTTTTATTGTGATCTCTGATCTATAAGGTTTTGATGAAGTTTTGGTATCCGAAATAATTTGGTAAGCTAATCAAATAAATATAAACTGTAAATCTATTTATATAATTATTTTCATAAATATTGACAAATGACATTTGACGATTTTCATGTCAACATTAATTCAAATTTATAAACATTGACTTTTAATTAGATTTAAAACTATATATTGTGATTTTGAATATAGCATTTCATCTAATTTGGATATAAATGCTGGGTATATCTATATATGTATATGTTTTTGAATTAAATTTTTTGAACTGTCAAATTTTTTTTTCAAAAATCATAAATCTTTTTTTCTCGAGTTTTCCATACATTTTGACATTTGTCATTTTAGTGTTTTGTTTTTTTTTTGGCCATTTTCTGTCAAAATTTTTAGAAATTTATAAAAATTATATATTTATATTTTAAATTTACTTTTCAAAATTTCCTATAACCTAAGTTGGATATATAACCAACATCGTGACACGAGATTTATATATATATATATATATATATATATATATATATATATACAGTGGCGTCGGAAGGTAAAATTTGATGGGCGGGCTCAGATAAATTATGTTAAAATAGTATAAAATGAAAAAGAAAGCTTTATCTGTACAAGAATAAATGCTAGTATGACTCCCTTACCCTTCGTCGTTTATCATTTTTATTATAACTATCTCCCCCCCCCCTTCCGTTTTCACACATTTTTATGTATTTTCTCTCCAAACTTCTGCTTCCACATTTTCCTGTCCCGTGCTTCGGCTTTTAGTTCCCTGTATTTTTTCTTTTCGCGTAAGTCGTCAATCATCTGCATTCTTCTTCTTCCCATTCCTTTCAGTACTTTTTTGCCTTCGACTACGACGTGTAGTAGGTACTCTTATTGCAGCACGGGTTCTTTCAGGATTGTGCTTAGTGGAGTCCTTTCTTCGGCCATTCTTTTCAGGACTTATTAATTTGAAGTGATTGTTGAATAACAACAGATTGATTTTGATCAATACTATTTATTATTATTTAATACAATTTGTGTATTGATTTGTCCTTGTTGGCCGCTGATGGATGAAGAAGCCTTTTGCTTCGATGGCCGTTTCTTTTATACAGGACGGAGGCGGCCATCTTGATGCGCGCGCATCACGCAGGGCAATCACGAGGTACGGCAGGGTCTTACTAATTGCAGGGCAGCACTTGGGTTCCATTTCCATTCGCTTCTCCAGCACCACATTTCAAAACTCTTCAAGTAGTTCTTGTCGGCCTTTCTTAGAAGCCGTGTTTCTGATTCGTACAGATGCTCCAGACATAGCTATGCTCCAGACATAGCACTTTGTCAGGCTTGGCTTTTGCGATCCTTGTCCTGATTTCTCTCGTGCAATATTCGTCTCATGGTCAGGATACTTTTCAAGTATTTGAAATAATCCACATCTTCCAATTCTCGATTTTCATCCTCAGGGGCTCATCTCTTTTTGTGATTCTCATCACTTTCGATTTGTCGACGTTGATTTCCATTCCGTATCTTCTTCGACGATTCCGCTCGTCATGTTTTGTAGCTCGGTTTGGTTTTTCGATATTACCACTAGATCATCTGCTTACTTTGAATCAGCCTGCGATCTCTCCAATCGACGTTATTAGATTTTAAAATTTCCTTTATCTGACTCCGTCAAAAGCTTTCTGCCATTCTATAAAACATCATTAACGTCGAGACATTTGTCTGACAATATTCCAATAGCATCGCTGATGCATCTTATTTTTCTTAAACTAAATTGGTCTTTGCTCAGTCGTATCGTAAGGATTTGGCGAATACCTTTCCAGGTGTGCGAAGTCTGCCTGATCGTCCTGCGGTCGCTGCACTTGTTCGTTTTGGTCCTTTTCTAAAGATCTATCATCGTGACATCCAGAAAGTCCTTTCGGTATATTCGCCCGTTTGGTATATTTGGTTCAACAGTTTGGTCAGTTTCCTTAATCCGTTGTTTCCCAGCTCTTTCAGCAGGCCTGCCAGTATTATGCTTATTGTGTCGTCATTTCCCGTTGCTTTCTTCTCATATCATTTATTCGTTTGATCGTTTTGATCCTTTGTCGTTTTCGTCCACCTCTTGTTCTTCGATCTCAATATTGATCAGGACGATTTTTTCTATTGTACAATTTTTTAATGTAAATATTTGTCTCACATGCTGAGAATTTTCATGTTGTCAGTCAACTTTATTTTCATTATCATCTTCATTTTTGTTTATATGCATGTACAGTTTTTATTTAAGTTTAAACTCGACTAAAAACACGTTTTCTTTTTTTATCTCTGGAGACATATTCAAGCATTTTTGAAATATGAATGTGGTTGAAATAACGAGTTCTAATGAAAATGAGTAACGTTATAAGAAGAATCTAATCTAATCGGGGCTAAGCCCGTCAAAATTCATGGGCTGAAGCCCATCCAGCCCATACGGTTTGGACGCCACTGTATATATATGATTAATTTCTTGGAGGGCGCAGCATCAAGTTAAAAATAAAGTGAAGATTTTTAAAACATCTTTATTTTTCCATACGTTTCGACGTAAAATTCTACGTCATCATCAGTGGTTTTGAAATTCTTAGATTAACACTTATACATTATCACATAACTTGTGAATAATTAATAATTGGAAACAAGCACTAAATGTCAGTGTTTACATTTTTTACAAAAAATAAATATCTATTTTATCGTTGTTTAAACATCAAATTTCGGGTATCATACCAATTTAACAATAAAATCCTGAAACATTTACTGTCCGAACGTAAAGTTAATACAAAGTTTACGAATCACGAACTAGTTGATACGTTTTCTTCCGAACATAGAACGGAAAAATCAAAATTTACATATCAAGAGATGCACCGCACATACTTCGATTATTTTTGGCAAGGTATGGCGAAAATATCAGAAGGTGTTGAAAAGTAATATTTATTTTTAGTATTCAGTATCAAATAATATTTACGTTGAATATTCTTACATACACTATAGTAGATTAATATTTAATATGTGAATTAAATAAATACTTTTTGTTAGTAACTATATATTTTACATAAAACAATAACAATATGTGTAATAAAATGCTATTTCCTTAAAATTTTATTTATATAATGGCATGAAATGACAATCTGCTTCTCCTTCAAACTTTTTCTAATCGTTCTAACATTATATAATGCTAACTCCTTATAAATCTAATTATTTCATAGTTTCAAGAAAGGCGCTGCGTAACTGAACAAGAATGCCGTGAAATGCCTTCACCTAGAGGAGTAACACTACCAGAATCATCTAGTCCCCAGCATTACAAGTCTTTTGAAAAAAGTTGTATTCTTCTCTGCCCCAACAACTATATTCAGACTGAAAAACCTGATGGAAATTTGACTTGTGAACCATGTTCTAAAGAAAGTATGCGATACATCATAATTAATTTTCGCTAGCTCACCTATATATATATATATATATATATATATATATATATATATATATATATATATATATATATTAGGGCGGGGCGATTTAAAGGTCACTTAGGAACATATGATTTTCGGATACTAGGGATCAAAATAAGATACTTTGCTGAAGAAACCATACCTCTGAAATGAATTCTGATGTCCAGTGTGTTGACCCAAAAATAAGGGCTGAATGTTGAAAAACCGTCACAGGGGATGAACCACGGGCATGGGTGAATCTCGGGAATTTTTCAAATTTTAACTCTTATTTTAGGGTGATTGCACGGAACATCAGAATTCATTTTACAGGTATAGTTTCTTCAGCAAAGTATCTTATTTTGATCCCTAGTATCCGAAAATCATGTGTGCCTAAGCGACTTTTTTTGACAAATCAAATCGACCCGCTCTAATATCAATATAATATATTATTTATTGCCAAAGTTTAATAATCGGGCATAGCATAAATAAAAAAACATTTTTTTTTTAAGAATCTATTTTACATCCATACATTTAGGCTATAATCCTAGCTTTTATTTAGTGGAAACTAAAAATAAAATTTAAAAACTAAAGCAACTGAATTGTTAAAAATGATAGAGTAAAAAGTACTTAAATTAGTTAATATTAGAATTAAAACAGAAAATTCAATAAAAAATGATATCAGAATATTGTAATGCGCTACACTATGTAATAAAAACATTAAACTTGCAATTAAACAATAATTCTCAAAATACCAACATAAAAATATCACAAATAGATTATGTGCAATATGTGGCGGTAAACTGGCTGAAGACATGATGGAGAAATGTTTTTTTAAAAAATATTTTTACTAAGATTCTCATGTGTGGATCTAATTGCTAACTACTAACTAATTGCGAATTTTTTTGCACATTTTGAATTTTTTTATTGTTTTGTGAGAAATTTAGAAATACTATCTAAATAAAAGATATTTCCTTCACTTATTGCTAAATTATGTATTTTAACTATATAAGGGAACTTTGGAATTTTAAATTTTTTTGAAAATTTTAAAATGTGTGAAAGTTTCATGTAGCAGTTCAACTGAAGAATATATATATATATATATATATATATATATATATATATATATATATATAATATAATGTTGGTATATTTAATAATTTCAGATGACTGTAGGAGAGAGTGTAATGGTGGTGTTGTGAACAATATTGCTTCAGCACAACAATTGAAATATTGCACACATATACTTCAGAGCCTGGAGATAAAAATTATTGGAGCAAGTAAGTTGATATTCGTTAACAATAATTATACACAAAGAATTAAAATTGAACATTGTATATATAAGTGATTTGTTTTAAATTTAAAACATGATTTAAATAAATTTTAATATGATATGACTAGTATGATATACCATACAAATATTTAGTAAATGCTTCCATCCTTCTTTCCCCTGGAAAATTTAATTTATGGTAATATTTTATTTGCAGTAAATATTGTGAAAGAACTTGAGGAAAATTTGGCAATGATTCAAGAAATAAATGGATATTTGAAAATAGTTAGATCGTATCCATTAGTATCATTAAATTTTTTAAAGAGCCTAAAAAAAATTAGAGGATCTTCTTTAGATAATGGAAGGTAATGTTATTAAAATATTGCACCCTCAGCTTTTTTAGACTATATCTTTTCAATTTCTATTTATTTTCAATTTAAGGTACTCACTTGTGGTTATGGACAATGCAAACTTACAAGATTTATGGGATTGGAAAAAACATGGACCTATAGAGATCGGCAATGGTAGTTTATCATTTCATTTTAATCCCAAGTTATGCAAAGATAAGATTGATGAATTGAGAAATATGAGCAAAACGCCTCTTGAAATCGATCAGAATTCAAACGGAGATAGAGTTCCTTGTAAGTTTTTTTTTAATTCAGATAATATTAGTTTTCATAAATTTTGGGTTTAAGCTAGGCGTCGCTTTCTTTTTTTTAAAAAAATGTCTGTTATTAATGCATTATGTTTTCATTTGATTGAGAATTTTTCAAAATTCAATTTTGTATTGTGTATATTTTTTAATCATTTGGCGACTATGTCGCCAGGGTGAATCTTCCAGCAACCCTAGCGGTGACATATTGTCACTATGTATGTTGTATGCATAACGGAGACAGAGTTCCTTGTAAGTTTTTTTTTCAATTCAGGTAATATTAGTTCTCATAATGGAATACACACTACTGCGAATAGTATTTCTTAGTATTTCTGTCTTATTAGTATATTTTGGTCAAAATTTCGCATTGAGTTGCAGTTAGTGTTAGAAGTATCGAGGCTAAGTATCAATACCGAGTACTGAAAAAGTATGAAGCAAAGTATTAATGCTATTGAAAAGGTATTGTGCTAAAAACTTTTTAAAGATCATATTACTATAAATTCCATTGTTAAATATCAAAATATAAAAAAAAAAATCAAAAATTTCAAAATTCTCAAGCTTTTTAAAAAATGTATTTCTGGTACGGGAAGTTCCAGCTAATTTGCTTTGAGGCTCAATGCCATGCACCACTAGTTTATTAGTCCGATTCTATTCATTCTACTTGATGAGTCCTTATGAAAGCAATGAATATTCTCTTCTGATTTGTTAAGTTTGGCCAATCTCTATCAACACGCATTGTCCTTTTATCTATCTCTCTTTATCTGTTACACTTGTTGCCATAATAATCAATAATACTTGTTATCACATATCTAATATTCTTTTGTTATATTCATATGTCATTTATTTACATGTAAAAGTATTGAAGCATAATTATTTCAAATAATACTGAGCATTTACAATAAATTATTATTTTACCTGAAGAAGTATCGAAATCATATTATTAAACTTAAAACATTAATTAAATAATAATAAAGAACAAACTTAAATCTGAGTCTTTAAATCAATATATAGAATGATTAAAAAAAATTTGCTTGAACAAATGAAACAAAATTTGCTTTTTTTGTGTTCCACACAAATTGAATGTTTTTTATTCATTCAAATTTATTGATTCATGCTCCCGAAATCGTCGACGAAAAGTTACACGAACCTTTTCAAAGTGCACCGTCAATCCGCACATACATACACATACACAAATTTATTCTAATGTAAAATTTCTAAAAACTTTCTTTTTCGATATTTTCTGTGATTGCTGTAACTTACTTTAAGAAAATATTATGACATATTAAATCTTCATTATTAAACTTTCTTCATAAATTTTGATAAATGATTGTAATTCTTTTGCGAACTTTTATTAAAATTTTAGTATAAAAACTAATAACTAGCATTAATACATAAACCCATTTCCTTATCTACGCATAAACCTTTCAGAGCGGACCACTAATATTGATTAACTTTACATAAATTACATCATAATTTATTGTATATATCATAATAAACAAAATTATAAAAAAATAACTGATTGAAATCGATTTTAGGTAACGTAAAACGCTTAAACGTAACTATTGCTGCCATATCTCAGAAGGCTGTTTTAATAAAATGGGAACCATTTCCATATCCAGATCAACGTGTACTTCTAGGCTATGTGGTATCGCGCATGAAGGCTCGGTATCGAAATGTTACAGTATACGATGGTCGCGATGCTTGTGGTGGTGATGGGTAAGTAAATCATACGTACCGTTTGTGATGCAGTTAACTTTTATAAACTGAATTTAATTTGATCGAGTTTTTTTTTGGAAAAAATATAGAATGGCTTTTGAGATTCTTTATCACATATCTAGTATACTAAAGGAATGGATACGATAAAACTGTTTATTTTCTCTCTTTAAAACTATTAAAATCTATTCGCATTTCGATTCGCATTGATTGAGAATAGAATGGAGAGGTACTGATTAATTTTTGCTAGGTTTGAGAGAAAGGACCGTCCAATTTGAATATTTCGTAAAACATTTCATTTGTAATGAAGAACTGATTACATTTTTGAAAAGACAGATCCAGCAGTTTCAGAGATCCAATAAAAAAGTAAAAGGATACCATTTGGCGGTCAAAATGATCATTAGACATACGCTCACCAATTCATCAATATTTTGTACAGATTTTAATAATATGTATGTACAAATTTTGTTTACATTTTGGGTTCCATACCAATATTTATGCGTTAGACTGCTATGTGGCGCTTACGTGCTTCGATATATCGGCTCTGGAACAGCTACGCAACGCGATTGCTTTGAGAAAAAAGTACAAAAAATACAAAAATTGCAGGATATAAAAAAAATCAAGATATAAAAAAACATTGTACAAGTTAATCAATTTTTTTCAAAGTTTCAAAATTTTCTAGAATCTATTTTTTCAATTTTTAGAAAATTTTAAAGTTTTTTTTTGGTTTGACATGCACCACTATTTTCGTTTTAAAATCAAATATATATATATTACCAATTCAGTTCATAATGCGATTTTGATTATGAAATTCATATAGAAGTAGGGATCTTTTAAAAGTTCATATAAGCCATTTTTATCACATATTGGGAGATTTTGATGGATTTGCTTTTTAATATTGTACAGCACATAAAAAGTATTTTGTCAATTTATTACAAAATGAAGCTGGAGAGCTCAAGTGGAAGGGTCTGTCGCAGTTATCGCACTCGATAGAGTTTTCTCTTGACAGCTACGCCAACATCAATCTATTGCAAATCATGCCAAAATCGTTGTCTTTACTCAAAGAAACTGTAGAATTTCATCTTTTGCCTTTTTCACAGCTGATTGTGAAGTATTTTGGCCTTCTTGTAAACTTTTGCTGGTACTTGCAATTTTTGACCATGTGCTGCTTCTACTGCGACCTCTCTGTTTTTAGGGAAATATATTGATGCGTTGACAAGATAATCTGCTAACGTTAATAGCAGCAGAAGCAGCAACACGCTCCGATATTTTATTTTATTATTTTACTTCCTTCAAAGCAATAATCAATTGTTCATAATTCACCACTTTTTTATGAGTTTTTTGTTTTTTAGGAGGTATTATGACTGCAGAGATAAAAATAAGTAAATAAGACATTTGATTAATTAATAAAAATACTTTACTGTGCAAAGAACGGCATTGCGCAAGTGCCCCATGTCTGTCCACAAATAGTGGCCCACTTCTATCTACAAACGCTTTTTTGCATGTGCATCCCACTAAAACACAATGTAAATAATCGGTAAAAATTACTTTGCATTACAAAGATTATATGTCTATATAATATATTGAAAATTACTTGTATTTTTCTCGTGAAAATTCGATGACAAATCACTTAAGAGCGTGCGACGGTAAAAACTTTCTCGGCGAAGTTCTTAGCGCGTTTCTCTGCACAGTGCGAGAGTAGGTTTATAACCTCCAAATGCTTTTTAAAATTGAGCAAGTATCAAAATATGATAAATATGTACGCGGTTTGACATACATGTCACTAGTCTCAAGGTTATTCGGGTGGCCCTCTTTAACCTGTGGCCCATGTCTGTCCACCGCACCCTACTCTGATTACTAAAACTAGTTTGAATAAAACAAATGCTATGCTATTTTGTATATTAGCAAGCCGCTTGAAGCTCTCGATTTATGAACAAACTAAATAAATCTTATAAATAAACTTTTCAGATGGATTGTCGAAGACGTAGCTAATCAGCCTCAAGCAAGTGAATTTCTTCACATATTTACACATCTCGAATCCTACACTCAATATGCTTTCTACGTTAAGACGTACACTATAGCTTCAGCTGTAGAAGGTGGCCAAAGTCCGGTTCTTTATTTTACAACCTTACCCGATCGTAAGTATTTTTTCTTATAATAATCATATACGAAATTTTTCTTCTATATGTTATTTGTCATGATATATAGACGCTTATTGAATGATTTTAGTAAGTGTTATAACTTTAATATTTTTTATTAAATATAAGATTTATAAATAATATTTTTAATTTCTGAATTTATTTATAAATATTTAGCAATTAATATTTATAGATTATGTTCATAATATCTATAACTGACATGCAAGAATTTTATCAGAAGATTGAATAATGAACTAATAAACGTCAATTTAATTTCTTTAACGTGAATTAACGTATTAATTAATTAAAGTTGATTTTGACTACCACGATTATTATATTTTATCAATATCAGAGTTTTATAACAAATTTTTATATTTTTATACACTCTCATTAGACATAATTGTGAGTCAAAGAATTCATAACTTACCAAAGTATTTTGTTACCAAAGTATTGTGTATAAAGTCTACTTGTATATATATTATGTATTAATTTTCAAATTTTATATTGGTAGAAAGTTATGAAATTTTCAGTATTATATGCGTTTATATAAATAAATGAATGTATTTTAATTAAAAAATTGAGTGTTTCATATTCTACTTAACATGGTAATGTTATTTATAAATATTCTTTAGATTTAAACTACATGAATGAACTAAAATATGTGCATGCATATAATAACCACACAAAAAAAATAGCATTTTCTTAAAATTCACTATCAATCTAATATAATATCTTTAAACTTGATTTACAGAGCCAAGCCCACCTCAAAAAATGACGGTACATTCAAACTCAAGTTCTGAAATTGTTGTCAAATGGGAACCTCCAATAACACCGAATGGAAACGTAACTCATTACATTATCGATGTTAAATATCAACCTGATGTCAACGACAGAAATTATTGCAAAGACGGTTAGATTTTTTTCGATATTATATATATATATATATATATATATATATATATTTGTTAAAACAAAAAACTTTTTAACAGGCATCCATCCAGATAATAATAGAAAGAAAACTAAGTTTCTTAAAATAAATTTATGAGTTTAAATTTTTGCAATGTCTTTACGATTCGTAAGTTTTTGAACATTTTGGAATACCTTACAAAAATGAATGCGTGCGTGTGTGGATACAATTTTCGTCTACGTTTTTGGGAGCACGGATCAACCTAAAAGTTCCAGCAATTTTTCCTAAGATTCGATGTAATGCGCCACTAGTTATTTTTATATTTTGGTAACATGTAAAACCAACTTTCTCATGAAAACCTTGAAAGATCAAAATTGAAGAAAATGTGTGATCCGTAATTCCGAATCGATCTTGAAAACTCAAAAACGGTTTGAGAATTATTGGTTGGAAATCGTGCTGATTAGTTTTTGGTAAAGATCGGCCGGGCCGCTTTCTTGTAATACATTGTTATATTTTTTCGACGATTTATATTATTTTTATTTGACGATACCATGGTCTTATAGATTATACTATAATATTACGGCTCTACGACAAGTCCTTTAATTTGAAAAAAAAATCGTTTTT